ATTAAACAAAACAAAGTACCCTCAAGTAATCAATTATACATAGAAGTGTTTGTGACAGTCTTAAAAATATTTTTCTATAATTTACAGATTGTTACATCAGTAAACTACATGTTATCTGACCTCTATATCCCAGTCAACACTAATCCCACATCACCTAAACTAGAAGATTTAACTAGTATTGGTGAAGATTCTCTCACATCTCATGTTGATTCTGATGACGATTCATCATTTGGTTCTGATGATGAATCTCCTACTTTTTCTGTTGGAGTACAAGATTTATGTTTGTCACACAAAAAAAAAAAAAAATCTACCAGTAATTATTCACCTTTAATGCATTGAATGTGAATTATAAATTTATATTTATTATTTACTGTTTCAGAACATAAGTTCCCTCGATCGGAACCTGTGGTAAAAACATTGGAAGAACGTTGTAAAAAAGCATTATATCATGTCGGTTGTGGCTTGAGTTGTTTACAGTATTTTAAGAATCTTAATCCACATTGTACAGATGAAGATAATATGGTCTGAAATAAATAATTGATTTTATATGTTTTTAATTAATGTATAAACTTTGAACTTAGGAACACTTTGGGGATGAACCTAAAATGGCAACATCATCAGAAGCAATTCCTATGCCATATTTTGTTTCTGAGATGGATCAACAAATGAAAGAAGATGAAAAAGTTGTCAATAAAGGCATTAAAACTAAAAATCGCAAACGTAACAAAGCTAATACAGTTGTTGAAAATGATGATGACACTAAAAATGTGTAAGTACTTGTTAAAAAAAATCTGATCTTTTGAAATCACTGTAATCTATGGCTTTTACTGTTTTTAGTCCTAGCACGTTACTCTGTAAATCTATTGCTGAAACTATGCCCACTTGGCATAATCCACCCGATGCTAAGGACAGTGATTCATGGAAACAACACTTACGGGTGTTACTTTATGAAAAAGCATGTTTATCTTATGCTGCATTAGCTGAACATGAGTTTACATGTAACAGGTAAGATATGAAAAATAGATTTGATATTGTTAAATGTTAAACATTTATTTTTACTATAGATATGGAGTAGCGTTGAAACATTTTCGATCTGTATTTGAATGCCGGTTATGTATTATTAACACCAATATCAACGACCTATTTGGATTTTTATTAGGACGTTGTGGTGATTGCTGTTTGTTGATTGCTCAAAACTGGGATAAAGCCCAACAATACACAGATGAGTTAAAAACTGATGAAAATTATGATATAGAAATAAGAGAAGCATTGCAAGGGGAATGCGATAATTGCACACAAGAAGGTAGTTTTTGATCAGAAATATTTGCTAAAAATTATTTAAATTTACAAAAAAATATTAATTGTATAATGTTATAGATTTCAATTTAATACCAAGATTATTTGAGTCAAAAGAGGACATGTTGAATGCAGCAGCCAATTGTTATGGACGTTCTTTGGATTTAGAAACAAATGAAAAAAACAAAAATAATCTAAACAGAAGAATTGGTAATGTTTACAATGAAATCACATCAGGATACATTGACGAAATTGCTAGTAAGTTACTTTTCCTTTGGCCTATATTAATTAGGATTGATCAATTTATTATAATTCTTATAGCTGCTTTAAGAGATAAAATTGAGCTAACTCCTTCAAGATTACAATGGCTGCTTAAACAGTCCAAACATTATTTGTCCAAGGGAATCGATAAATTTGAAAGTACCGAAGATTTAATTAATCTCGCATTGTTGTATTCAAACATGGGCAGATTATATAGACACGTATCATATTATTCATCGCAATATATGGTTTCCTTAGGAGAATTTTTAAAAGATGAGGATTTTACTAACAAGGTTAGTTGATTGTTTTAAATTGAAATTAATTATTTCAGTTGACTTCATAACACTGTAAGTCATTATTTAAAGATTTTATACTAATATTTTAGGCTGTGGAAAGCTACATGAAAGGACTGGCAGTGCTGGGCTGCCGTCGTTTTAACCCAAAACTCTGGGACATGGTTTGTTGGGACTTATCAACAACCATTTACAATATGGCCATACAATCTCAAGATGATCCATCTGTATTCAGTGTAAGTGTATGGTATTCAGGTGGATTATAATAATTTGTTTTGACTCATAGATAAAAATATATAATATTTAGGATAGGGTTGAAGCTGAGAAAGAAGTTATCAGTTTACTCTTGAAAGCTTTAAAATACTGTGATTTAGAAAATGATTCGTCTAGAAAATTGTTGTATGAATTTCGGGCAGCATACATTCATGACCGACTGGCTTCCTTGTACCACCATCGTTTAAGGTAATATTGGAACATCATTAAAGTACAATTATGGTTTTATTGTGATAGCATAAATGTATAATTCATTGTATGTCTACTCTTAGCCTATATTGATAATTACACAGTAATAGGATCTAAGCTACGCAAAGGGTTCAAGCGACATGTTAATATCAATGTATAGACTAATATATGTGTTTTTCAATGAGCATGCACAAAAAATATCTGTGACTTTTATTTAACAAATAATATGAATTTTAAGTTTGCATTACGATGGACACTTTATTTTGTTTTGCTCAAAAAAGTGATCTAAACGACATCACAAATGTTGAGGAGACAAATATAATTTAACAAAATTGATTTTTTTTTTCCCCAGAAAATTTTTGTCTCGATTTTATTTTGATGAACATGAGGTATTATATTATAATATAGGTCATAAATTATATTTTAAAAAAGTGTAGGCATTAGTGTAATGTATTCGAATTTCCTTACCTACGTAAATAATAATAAAAAATATTTAGGTATTTATTTAAAAGATAAACGAATAAAAAATTATGGTACAAAAAACCCTACCCACAAAAAGTTTCCAAATAATTAAAATAACAACAAAATGGTTTTTTAATTTTCCTGTAAACCTTGAAAACTGTTACTTCGCCATCAATATTAATATCTATTTCTAATGATAAACTGTTACTCATTATTACATGTTTATTCTCAGCTTATAACTACAAGTTCATATGTTTTTATCAGGTGTCTGGAAGTGGATATTCCAAAGTTTAAAAGTACCCTTCATCAGTGTACATCTCATTATAATCGTGCATATGAAATGTTTTATAAAATGGATCGTCCATTGGAGTGTCTTGAAATACTCATAAAAAACATTGCTTTAGATGAGCTTCAAATTGAAAGTATGTGAATGAGCTAAATCTTACAAAAGTTTGAAATAATTTCAATTATTATTATCATTTAGGTGCAACAAATTCTCAATCCAAAGTTAAATTTATCATGTCCATCACACAAACTTTAGGAAAGTGTGTTTCTGTATTAAAAATGTTAGCAGAAAATAGTATTGATGAGTACAAGGAAAAATACTTGGATGATCATAATGATAGTCTTGACAAAACAGATCGGAATAATGACGATGACCAAGATAGTGAAATGAAAAAAAACAAGTTGTTGAAACTTTTAGAAGAGAGATTACAACACATATTGAAGTCCATGATCAAACTGGCTATGGCAAAAACATCGAAGTAAGCGTGCCCTATTATTAATTAATTTATTAACGTATATTCTTCCATACTTTTTTTGCATCTTTAATGGCTTAACCTGGATTTTGGAGTTCTAATATTTTATAATGTACAAAAAAAATTCTGTTTAAAAATGGTCATAACTTAAAAATAATAATATCAATAAAATCCTCTGAAATGCCTTCGATAATATTCTTGCCTTTAAGTTTTATAAGAGGTAAATTCACTCTAATCTTAGAAATTACAGAGTAAAATGTATTATTGTGAACTCAAAATGTGTGGCTTCTTCTTAAGGGAGAGGCAAAAATTGTTATCCGTCAAAAATCTCATCACTCATAATTTATTTTTATACCAAATTAAAAACAGTTTTATTTTCTTCTAATATTATTTTTTATTTTGATGTAATATTTAAAATATTAGTCGCAGTCTTAAAACTTTCAGGTTTTATATTAAGTATGTATGCGAGTAGTTAGAATACAATAAAAGGCTAATGTGTATAAGAAAATTATCATACAGAAAAATAGAGTGCTAAATATACATTTTATATTTAAATTATAGTAAAATATACCTTTGTGATAGTTTTGTTAAAAACTAGTTCAAGTTTGACCTACTTGCTTTAACTTTACTTTATCTTAACTCGTTATAGGTTGACCAATAAAACAAACGAATTAAAAACAATCTACGGTGAATTGCTGCGAAAAAGTGATGACGCCAATGATTATTCACATTTACTCAGAGTTGTTACACAGATATCAGAATTAAGCTTCTAAGTTAAATGATTAGATGAAGTGGTTAAAACAATATCATAATACTTGTGATATTAATGTTAATTACTGTTTGTTGTATATTTTTTTGTTTACTTTTTATAGTCAACACTACTATAAAATGTTGGAAACCAGTCGTAACTATTTTTAATAATTCTACTACTACTTTAAGATATGTTTTTTGTTATACGGCAATACAGCCAAGATAGACTTGAAAGTCAGAAATAAATAATAGTTATAATATTGTACAATGTGAACATTATGGAAAATAATTCAAACCGATTTTTGTGAGTGTATTAGCACATGTTTATTTATGTCAATGAGTTTTAAATTAAATAATACATCTTCAATATATTTTGTCTTGTCTCCATTTTTATTTATACATACATACATTATTCCATTTTTTTTATATCCATGAAATGAGTGCGATTAACAATGTTCAATAAAGAAAAAAAATTGTACAGTTGTAAGTCATATTGTAGTATATTATTGTTAATAATTAGCCAATAATTCGTGATGATTTATAATTATATTAAGTATTGTATATTGTACAAAATTATAAAACACTTGGGGATCAATAAACAATAGTTTAAACTCTATATAATATCAGACATTTAATTTATTAACGATAGTATTATGGCTGGATAATAATTGAGTTGTCAAAATATGGTGCTATACTTCGTAAGTAACGACTAGAATTAGTCTGGCCAATTAATTTGCTATCATATTTTAATATTTTATTCACTTTGAAGTTTGATAGAATTTATGATATTTTGTTAAGTAATTTTTTTTTTACAAATTCTGCGGATAGTAAATGAACATAGAAAATACTAACGGCCCATACAAACAGAGGGATGTCGGTTTCTTACTATCAAATAAAAAATTACCAACAACGACGCTTGATGAGAACTCTACAAATCGCAACCTTTATGCGTCATGATCAAACGTTCAAATAAATATTCGCTGTTGTCCAATAATCAGAGGAGTGTACTCACCCTGTGAAGGTACATATTATTATCTATTATATTATACTATATAATACTGGCAATATGTCAAGAAAAATGTAATGGGCTCGCAATCGTCTTCGGCGAAACAAAACGACTTGTCGGTAGAAATTCATGGAAATATGCCAATTGATTATCGTTCAAAGAAACGATAGTGAAAATAACCAAAAAAAAATATCGGGCGAAAGAAAAATCAAAATACCTAATCAACGTAGTAAATTATTATGACGACATTTACAATGTTGTCACTCGAAATTCGAACGACTGCGATATTCGAATACCGTCGAAGGTAAGAGTCGCAAGGCCGGTCGACAGAATCCGATATTGAGATTTGACATAATGATTAATGATGGGTAATGATTAACAATAACAATATGATGTAGGTGCCTACAGAAAACAATAAAAAACAAAAATAAATAAACAAAACGTAATACAACATAATAATATTTGAATCAATAGCGTTATAAACTAAAATAACATGTATAGGTATTTCGGGCTCGCGAGTCGTATAATGATTTCAAAACTTTCGATCCAACGGCCGACGACGTTTGCTTGTAAAACGCACATAACAATATTATTACAACATTCGTATATAGGAAGTATTATACAGTGTATAGGAACATGATCGTATTTTAAGCTTATTATTTTAACACTACGAAATGCGGTCTTATACGATATTATTATTATGATTAAATAACTGGGGCAAAATAAATACTAATAAATACGACCAACGGAAAACGATAATAAATAATAATAACACATTAACAACGGTGGAGAAAATCGAAGATTTCCACAGATCGGCGGCCACTGGACGTGTCGGCACCTCATCAGTCATCGTCTCGCGTCGGTGAAACTGGTTCGATTTTCATTGGCGGCGGCGTCGGCGTCGTCGTCGTCGTCGCCGCCGCCGCGGACATCAGCAGCGCCGGATTGGCGACGGCGATTATGTTGCCGCCGCTCGACGATATTATCTGCAAAGTGGAAACGACGATATTCATTGTTTTTTTTTCGGTGGCACGTGCTTTGGAATATTTCAAAAAATGATCGAGATTTTTTTTTTTGTGCCTATGACCCACAATAAATTGCCAAGTGCATGCATATTTTTATATCGTTTTACTTTTGACCGCGCCGCAATTTTAAATCAGTAAAAATACCGAGATAAACAATACTTTTTCTAATTAATTTTAATTAATTTTAAATTATATAAATCAAATGTTTATATTATTTTTATCGATATTCAACAAAATTAATACTAAATAGAATATAACCTTATTTTATGAGAAATTGTATTCATATACAATATTACATTTATATGCGTTTAAAAAGTAAAAATATATTAGCAAACAAATAATTTTATAATTGGTTGAAACAATTAGAAACAACTAATAAACGTCGTCTCAAACTTTCTCTGAAAATGTAATATTTCACTAACTTCCGCTACCAAAGAGATGATTTATGCCAATACACTCGCTGTTTATACCCCTAAGTCCGCCTGGACTCCCGTGGTGATTTTATTACCCTATGTTATTACTTGTTAGTTATTATCGGGGCTCGGGACTTATAGCATTTGCTTATTTTTATGGTTTGACATAAAATCTATCTGAGTGCTATGGAAGAGTATGTCATGTTATAAAAAGTTCGATTATGAAATGTGAAAGTGCTTTTTTTTCTTTTTTTAATAAAATGCTTATTTCAAGTTTTCCGATTATTTTTGCTTTTATGCGTTATCTCGTCATATACTATACGTCCTAGCGACTAGCCTAGATATTTATTGGTGCCATCGACAAAAACCTGGACATTTTAGTTAATTTCTGTTTTTTTTGTCCATTTTGTTCACGGTAAACCTAGGACTAAAAATAATTTTTCTCCTTGCATTATTTCCTAGTAATAAACACTAGAACTCGTATTTGCTCACTTATCTACAAATCAGCCAAATTAATATATTTTTTTCGGTTATTAGAAATTTGTTCAGAAAAGTTTATATTATAATATATGTATATTGTATACAATATAAGTATATATATATATCATATATAAGTAGTATAATAAAGAAGTTAAAAAGTTTTCAAAAACTCTAAGAGCCTAAAAGTTTTAATTATTTGAAAGATACATTTTTTTTCATGTATCTAAATATAAAAACTAAACCATGATGATATGTAAAAAAAATTTATCGATAGTTTTTGTCTTTTTTTTCGCTTATTTTAATATTTATAAATGCTTATTTGAGTGCTAATAATGGAGTATTAATTTTTTCAGCGGTTATTTTGATGATTGTAAGTGCTGTAAGTCCCGAACCCTTAATCTATTATGTGCCTAGGACTGGATAATATTTTACCTGGACTTTGTCGTTGAAAAACCGATCAACCAGATGTCTGTTGCCGTTTATGTGCGCGGAGGGGCTGTGACTATGGCGGCGACGCTGAGGTTCTTCGTCGTCTTCGTCCGTGTCGTCTGTATCGCCGCGAGACAAGTTACTCTGAAAACAGAGAAGCCTGTTGAACGTACGAATAATATGGAAATACAATATGCTTTAGTTGGGTTAAAAATGCAGTTACAATATAGGTAATATTGCAGTGATGTTAAAGTGTACCTACATAGATATAGGTACGCATTTAGTTAGTATAGGTAATAGGTATTAAAATATTATTAGTCTATAGTTATTGTATTACATAAAGCTGCTGCAGTCCAAGCCACGTGTGTGTTGATGTGTCTGAGAAATTTGTTATTCAAAACAATATACACTGTATTATTTGCATACATACCTGGGGTTCGGAAAAACACAAACAAAACAAAAGCTAAACAAGCTAAAACAAACATAAACTGAAAAGGTTTCGGTTAATAACGACGCACAAGTATGAATCATAAATTAATAGTAAATTGCATTAATGTACATATATACACACATCCATGCCTGTTAAATAATAACACAAACTGCACACCTAATGGAATATTTACATAATATACAAAATAAATATTAAAAAGAACAAAAATATATAAAACAAATAAACGGCTCTACGTTCAAAATACACAACAGTAGCAGGTATGCATTTTTCATTTTCGCCATAGTTTTATATGCTACGCTGTTTAGAATCGAAACAGATCGCCACTTCAAAGTTTAGACCTCCAAAACGTGGTACATACCTAGGCAGGCACTGTTATGGTTATAGGTTGTTAAATCGTGGCTCAAGATAATTAATTTTAATTTTGAAGTATGTACCTACATGCTTGTAACAATAATTACTTTATTATGCATTTTCAATATTGTAAGACACATGGGATATAAACGACTTATAACTTGAAAACGAAAAAAGTATCAAATACAAATTAGAACATAATTTAGTAAATCTGAATGCGTTTTTTATACTTTTATTTTCCCAGCGCTATTTCTTTATTATTTCTTAGAAACACTGTTTGTACTGGAAATCGTTTCTCGATGTTACTAAAATCTAATATAGCAGTACCTACTTCCTTTTTTTAATATTATATACGAAATTAATATCAAATATTTTATAATATTAAGTTTCATTTGTTAGATTTTTCGGAGAATATATTTTCATTTGTTTGATTTTTACTAAGAACCGTATTTTCTTTTGTTATGTTATAATGTTACAATATTTCAGCACAAAATAAAATGTGATTCCAAGTAAATCAAATTTTTAGAAACGAAAATATTATTTTATTAAAAGAAAATATAAAGAAAAAATATATTTCCTACAATATTGATATTGAAACATCAACATTCAACATGTTATTATTTGAAGATATTTAAAATAAATATGTTTCAGTAATAATTAAATATATCATCTGTGTACAATTGTCAAATATTTTAAAGTAATGATTGTTTTTTTTTTATATTTAATTATTGTTTTTAATATTGGTATTATTTGTGTTCTTGTCAGTTGGTGTCAAATATATTATATATCTTTTTAGCGAATATTGAACCAAAAATGTGAACATGCCACGAAATTCCCAATCATTTATAAACCATGCGTTATTTGGTGTTATTCATATTGCATAAGTAAAAATATTAAAAATGATATTATTATGATGGATTTCGAATATGCACGTACGTGCAATGTGCGTAGGCATTTTTCAAGACAAATGTACCAGATTTGTCTCTTGACAGAATAACTATACAGGTGGGTAATGTGTTAGTTTTGGGGGACGAAAAACCTTAAAGCGGATCGGTGCCGCTACCGTTACCGCACTCGCCATCACCGCCGTGTTCACGTTTTACCTGATTACCGGTATTCGGTGATGGTTTTCCATCGTGGTGGTAGTCGACGCTGCATCGAGTCATCGAATCCCTGGAGTCGCTGACGTCCTGAAATTTGGTTAAGGAATCCGGTTAGGTACCACAATCGCAAAATATATACCAAGTCGAATGGGATGATAATAAATCAGAAACACATATTATATATACAGAGCATAGAGGTACAGGAAGTCAGAAACTGCCGAAATCTGCAGAAACGGTCACGGACTAAGGTAGAATCTTAGTATCTATCTTAGTCCGTGGAAACGGTCAAGTCGGACGCGACAGACCGGATTGTCAGTCATGATGTGCAGCGCGCGATACGTCTACCCACACTATTTAAAAATGACTATAACGAATGTCCGTTAAATTTTTTTTCGCTTTCATTACACGATTGTTTCCTTGAAAAAGCGAACCTCACCTGTAACGGAGAACTAGTATTGCTGTACGACATTTGAGAGTCCGTGTCGTCCGTGTCGAAACCGGCCGATGACGACGTCCTGGCACCGCTCTGGTCCCTTCGCATCATCGACCTGCGTGTACCAGACGTGCCATAATATGTTAATGTTTCGTTTTGCTTAATATTTAACTTTGAATCAAATGTGACGCGCATTACTTGTTTTGTCGCAGGTCGTTCTGTTCCACTAACAGCTGCGCTTGGCGATTCTTCAGGGTTTCCAACTGGTGTTGGACCGCCTGGTCATCTTGAGTGCTCTGGTCCAGCTCCTCTCGACGATCGTTGACCGCCTTCAGTTCGTCAGCGATCTGCTCCAAACGTTCCTGCGAAAACAACACGTCCTATTTGTTATATGATGTTAAGATGTATACGTATATATATAGGTATAAAAATGATGTATTACAGACGATCGCGTTTATCGAACCCAGCCAGTAATCTTAGAAGTTAGAATAAAATAAAAAATAATCGATCGGTATCGATATCACATAATATTAAGTAGTGAGGTATACCTACTTAAGACTTAACGTTGGAATTATATCATATAATACGATGCGTATTGATTATAGCGGTGTGTACGATGTTCCTATAGACAATATTATTATACGCATAGTAAACTCGGTTCAGGATATTTATTGTGTACCTACCTACAAATATCATAATTGTCTCTATACCTATGCATAGTATTTTAATCACTCATTTTATATCGATCTCTCAAGTAAGTATTGATTTTTTAGCCCGAGAGCCGTCAACTGCGTCAACAAAGGTTTATTTACCTGTCGTCGGATTTTGAATAGTTCGACGTTATCGTCCAGACGGGGCCTCTTCGACCCGTAACCGCAGTCGCCGTTCGAAGTCAACCCTCCGAAACCCTGCAGCATGCTTGACCTGTTTTGATTTAAAGATTTTTAATTTACACACAACACTTAATGGTACTCGCATTAAACGATATTTGTTTTACTACAAATATCTTCTGCGGATTTCGATGAGATATGTAAAAATCGAATAGTAATTTTATTTTTTTTATTAGTTCATTATTTAGGTAAGAGTAGTTTACTTGGAATGTCCTTTAGAATAATGGTATCCCGAGTCACGAACCACTTGTCGGGCTAAAGGGAACAGTTCGTCTCGTCTAGTCAACAGGACAGGCACTAATTTGCATATCTGTGCGGCGGCCTCGTTTACGGACACCTGTGGGTTTGTAAACATCCTTTATAAATTTGCGTGGAACACTCGGTACATATTAATGTATTCTTATTGATTCGATTTTTTTGTTTATAACTCAAATGTTCTGTTTCATTATTTACTATCGATATAGCGTTATTGGACACTCAAAATGATTCATCCGCACCTATCCTATATTTATAATATTAATACTTAGATACTTAGACGGTTTATTCACCTCGTGCAATGTTAAAGGTTTTTCTGGTTTCCTTTTGCAATCGAACCGCCCGTAAATAGCCGAATACTTCCTAATAGATTCTATGCGCCTTGGATCTTCTTCCGGCATGTTCATGACGCACTGTAAAACCAATGCACACTTTAAAATAAAATATAATATGTGACTATCATCTATGTGACTATGTTTCATGTATTGTTGATTTGTAGCGTACATATTTTATACTAAATGAAGTTATTTACTGTCGGTTATCAATATAATGGTGATTTTATAATTGGAAAAAAATGTTTTCAAGCGGTGTTGTGATATTTTATAAAACCGTCTTAATGGATTGACAACGACGACAATACCTACAAAAGAAATATTAATAACCCCTTTAGGCAAAATATTGACTAAGTCAGTATATGGATATATTACTATTAATCATAACAGTTTCACCCCGATTCCTTCACTTTGAAAATTTTTTTTATAAATTGTACTAATAAAAAATGGTGCAGTATAATAATACTAAAAATGTTTATTTTGTGTTGTGTACTTGTGTAACAATTCGATTGGGTAATAGTATGTATGTATGTGTTACTTATTCATTTAAATGAATCATATATACATATTTATACGCCATGGGTTACTTTTCAGTAAATAATTGCTTAATAATTTCAGTATCCCCTCCTATGAGAAAATCGTCTCTACATGAACTCATGCTTACCTCGAGTTCTTTGTTCGCCTTCCGTTTCGCTGTTTGTGCCTTGGGTTGGTACTGCGGTAGCCTTTGCACTAGTTGCTTAGCCGACGTAGCCAACCGGGCGATTTGTGATTCGTCCAATGTCGGGGACAGCTGCAACGGCGATCCTGGACTTTGGCCAGGGCTGTTACTATCACCATAGTGTTGACCAGCTGAAGTTGTCGCTTCACTCGTTTGCGCAACCTGGAAAACACGTGTGCAAATGTGCAATACAGGTATCACTGATCATCTCTATATATACACTATATTATTTACACATGTCTTTACTATGTAGTGTATATTAGCATTATTAAACATGTTTAATGGATAAAAATCATCGATTGAAATCAAATTATTAATTTTAGACTTTGAGCGGAATGTATATATCGATTGTACAATGATATGTGGGTTTTAAAAAAAAATGTTATGTCTGTCATCGCATTTTGGAGTAGTAAAAGTACTTCAACATTTGAACTTCAAACAGTTCAAACGATGATAAAAAATGTATGTGGCTTCAAGTTTATTTTTTTATATTCTGGTAAACAAAAAAATGAAAAATGATGAATTAAATTTTTTGGCGTTAAAATAAAAAAATAAAAATATGAATTGGTAACCACGAAATAATTTGTAAATGTTCGTGATTTTGGATGAATTTTAATATAAGATTTGAACTTCAGACAGAAAATGTAAAAAAAAATTGAAGTTAATTGTATTTGAGGTATTCTTATGAGGTATCAATTGTAAGTACTTATTATATTTTCAAGTTTTATAACGTTTAAACAAATATTTATTATACATACGATTACTTATACGAACTAAAAAAAGTAGAACAATTCAAATGTCTCTGAATAGCACAAAAGGATTTATAATATTTTTTCAGTTACTTACACAATATCTGGAAAATTTTAATACCAATTCGCTAAAAATGTAGGGTCATTCATTTTTGAATTACAACAAAAACCATCATCTTTTTTGTCGAAAATGAGTTCTGAGTAAATATTCTGGTTTTTCCTTTTATTTTTTTTATTTTCCTGATTAATTTGAAAATAACTGTGATTTTTTAATTTTACCCCCCCCCCTCCAAGTTTCAACTAAATTTAACTTGCTACCGGAAACCACCTTCAAAGTTGATATTTTCTGCTCAAAGAGGTGAAATGTTGGACACATAAATTACTACAAAAGCACACATTCACACATCGTCGTAAAACGTGTGATCGTGTAGCTCTACTCAAAATCTAAAATAATGATTTAAAGGTCAAAGGTGTATAACATACGAGGCAGTATATTTATGTTATTTATGTACCCGTTTAGATTTCGATCTCACACCCTGGTATATGTAATTATACCACCTTTTAAGGGGCGTGCTTGTGCGTGATAATAATAAATAATAATTATTGTTACATCGAAAATCTAATAATAATATTTACCTGCGGTAGTTGGTTGGTCGAGCTGGGCACGTGCGATGGTGACGTGGGCGGCTGGTAACCGTACCCCAGCGGTGTATAATAACCGTGGTGTATGGACGTCTGGATTAGCGGGTTCGGGCAGACTCTGAGAAATGGCCTCACCGGGTTCGGCGGCAGGACGATGGCACTGGGACCACCACTTGCAACAGGAGATGTTAGCGGTGCTTGGAACATGGCTGAGGACAAAATTCAAGATCGAGTTCAGGAAAGTTTCTAAACCATAACTGTGATTTGAATAGAAATTTTAAACATTTGATTAATTTAATATACTATGTATTATACATACTGACTGACCCATATATCTATACGACGAAATTTCACTCACTCTATTATTATTATACCTACCAGCTGTCGAATTGAAAATTTCACTAAATATTGGTACAGTATTTTATTATTATCGCCTGCAACTGTAGCGATTCAATATTTGTAAATTTGTAACATTGTAACATCATTTAGATTAAAATAAAGGAAAAACGGGCACTCACACTATACTTGTATTTAAAATTTATATACCTACATATTATAGGTTAGCTGCTGGTAATGTGCCCTACCCAAACAAATCTAAATCAATTATCGTGTGTCCACTATCCAGACGTTCAATGTTATGTCATCATGTAATATAAATAACCAAGACTTAGAGTATAGATCAACTTAATATGTATAAAAATATTAATTAAGAATATAAATTACAATATACATAAGTATACACCCGCAGTCCGCAGATAACAAACGTACTCATAATATTTGCGGTGGAAGATTTACGGCGGTGAGTATAGAAGGTATATCGATGTTTATTATTATAATTTACCATTGTTAGTATTGTTATTATCGCCATAATATGCAATTTTTTTTTATTTGCTTATTTAAATACAATGATAGCTCGACAATTATTGTAGATAATATACAATATACATAGTATTAAGACATTAAAAATGGTCACAATTCAATAGTGATAAGTTCTAAAGAGTTAAGTTTTGTATATGTATAAGTACTTTTTTGGTACCTTTTTTTTTCCGTTTTAACCGACGACGCCGCGGGATCTGCTTTCGCATTGCTTCCGCGGCGCCGCCATCATTTATTGACAGTATCAAATATTAATACATACGTGGGAGGCAGACGGGACAGCTCCCCGACTTACCTAGTTCAAGCATTTTCAAAGTTTTGCAATAACAATTTTTTTAATTATTAACAAACTTTTTTGGTACCTATTTTAAACTACATGTATGTTTGATACAATTATTTGAATACCAACCCTTATGAATTGAATCGAATAAATATTAGTTTTTTCTGTGTCTTTTTATGATTCAATGCGTGTAACATTATGTTTAATTCGTAAACATAATTAGACGTTTGAATATTTCTACATTCTACGCCAATCAAAAACATGCTAGGTTGACAAGTCTATTTATAGACATTATGTACACCATACACGCTTTGTATCATTTACAAAACGTAATTATATTTTTATTTTCTTACTGTGTGATTATTTTATTTAGTATTTACTAATAACATTTTTTACATAAACAATTATGGTGTCACGTCTTTTGGACGCGGTAATTTCGACGCAAGACAATTTTGGACGCACAAGACATATTTTCGACACGTGCAATTTTGACGCAACTATAATTCGACGCATAACATTAAAATTGTATTTTAATATTGTGATTCGATTAAAAACACAAAATATTATTCATGCACGTGTATTCAATAATATGCTCTTAAAAATTATCAAATCATAAAATACAAAATATTATATTATAGTATCGTAATCGTATATATTAATTATTATTATTACTTATATTCATACAACTTGGAATTTTAATCTACAACCAGTCGATAGGTATACTTAATAGATACCTAAAAAAGTTTTGTAAACTACCAACTATACATGAAGTATTCATTTTAACGAATTTCTACTTTTCTTTATTTTTGTATCACATTTTGGCAAGTAATCGTTCTTATCAGAGCCGTATTACCGCTTAGGCTGTGTACGCTAAAGCCAAGGGCGCCAAATTTGTTTTTGGTGTGACCCAAAAACTACGTTGAGATATTAGTAAAATATTAATAACCATGTAAATTAGGCGGTAAATTTATTTCGGCCTATGAGCGGCAAAAGCCTTAATCCGACCCCTGTTCTTATAATATTTTAGTTAAACTGTGATCCTTAACAATTTCAATGGTCTTGTATTTTCATTTGCAAAGAAATTAATTAGATACAAGTAGATTATTACCTCGTTGACTTTTTATATACTCCTATGTATTTTTATTCATTAGCTTTGTAATAGTCACTCGGTGAATACAGGTACTAATGTATTTACTATCATATATTATATAATTCTTTGTAAAGGTGACAATATAGTAAAATAGTCCAGGAGCTACTGACGGTTCCACCTTAGAACCTTACCCATTATCTAAGTTCGCTTCATTTTTTTATAAACTATACAGGCCTTTTGGATAAAAACACCAGTAGAAGTGGCTCGGAGGGGGGATGAAAAAATCAACCAATTTTATCATGTTTGCCACCAACACCAAATATTTCTAGATTTTATATTTAAAGATGTTATGGAAAAATGGACAGACGAAAATCCTGACTCAAACAGATAGAATTTTTTTTAAGTTTGTAAAAAAATTATTTAAATATTGTTTTATATGTTAGTGAGTCTAAATTTTTGTTTGCCGTTTTTTGATATAACATCTTTAAATAATCTAAAATTATTTGGCTTTGGTGACAGAAGCGTTAAATTGGTTGTTTTTTTAAAAATTCCCCCTTCCACTCTCCGTCAATAGCTCCTGGTAAAATGCGTATTTATTATTATGTTATGAACATTTAACAATACGAATGACATTAAGATAAACGTGATGTAATCAAAATTTCCCAATTCTATACTTTTTTAATGTTCATGATAACAAGTAACAAGAACAAAAAGTGCGTCGAAATCTAGTTGATTCAAATTTACACTTGTCAAAATGTCGTATGCGTCCAATTTATTGTCTTTCGTCGAAATTACGTGTTCTCAATAATAAATAATAATTATGCATATTGTTCTATGTATTTAACTATAATTATTTTATTTTATGTTAATTATAGTAGATAATTAGGTATTAAGATTATCGTGTAATGAAACACCGAAATAATCAATTGATAATAATAACAATAATATTAAAGAATTATCGTAAACTTAAAAGTTCTAATATTCAGTTGAATGTAAAAGTTAAACATAGTGATGCACTCGACTTCATTAACTTTAAATATAAAAAAGTTAATTTAGTAGATACTATAATAGTATAATGTTTGATAATATTTTTTTATTAAAATGTCGAGATTTATGAAGAGATTTAACCTAATTGCCTTAACCCTGTTCTATCTCATCTCAATTTTTTCCCTGTAAAATTTAAAATGCAAAACATTTTTACATTATATTTTTTACTTTATAGGTTTTGGAATGTTTTCTTAAACCGAATTATTGATGGTTCCTAAAATGAAAAACTCTCAATCCCAGAATTATGTACTTTATTCGCCGGGTTATCTGAAAACCCCTCAACACATTGCAGCTGCGACAGAAAAATTGATCGAGCAAACTTTTTTTGTTGTCTTTTTTCTCTCTCTCTCTCTCGCCCTCACTCAACCCTACTACTCTTTCCTCACGCTCTCTCTCTTTCTATCTTTCCCACTCTCCCATTCTCCTACGTTCTCTCTCTCCCCTCGATTCGACGACGTTGTTCCACAAAAAAACAAGAGGTAGGACTGGGTAGAGGTTTTATGATTCGGTTCTTTTTTTCCTTCTTTTTTTTGTTCCTTTTATTTTTATTTTTTCCCCTCTCTCTCTCTCTCTCTCTCTCTCACTCTGAGCGATTTCTCTTGTAACGAGAAAAAAAAGGGGTGGAAAAAAAAACAGCAGACTGCTATATATATAATATATATACGCACACACACATTACACACGCACACAGAAACACATCTACAAACGCGAATATATATATATATAGGTGATCCCGTTGAAAATTTACACCACAAAATGTTCAGTACGTCGGATAGGGGACGAGAGAAGCTTTTGGAAAAAGTCATATATAATTTTTTTCTATTGCAAAAGGTTTTCCCTCTTGGATTTGAACTTTCAATGTTCATTCTGGGTTTTGTGTGCAGGCTAGAATGGACGCAAAACCACAATTTCCCAAGAATTCTGTCCATTTTTAACATTATTATTATTTATTCAACATTTTATTTAGAATTTTTATTTATTATGTCTATAAATGTTATGAAAATGTAAGAGATAAAACTAAAAACTAAAAACATATTGTCAAAAAATTATTATTATTAACCAAAATTTTAAAACTGATAAATTTAAGATACAAAAAAAATTACGGCGCTTATCTAACAACCTCACTAATTAGTTTGTCATTATCTTCATAAGTATACCTATCACTCTTCAACTAATGACTTTATTGTATTAATGTTAATAATATCAGTATATGATCATCATGATAACATTCCAGTAATAATAATTATTTTGTGAATTTCTTCTAATAAAATACTTAATAACACTCATATTATTGATTTAAATGACAAAATATTAATTCGGCCAATAATAACTTTAGAAACTTTGCTGAGCCATAATAGCAAAGATATATTTTAATCACATACTTAAGTTAAGTTTGAACGAACAGATTTATTGATGGGTATTAAAATTTACTATACCTATACTATATTTTTTTCAAACATGTTTAAAATAAAAGCCATCACTATAATAGAATAATGAAACAGAAAATAATTGTATTCCGATTATAAATTTATGTTAAATAGCTGATAAATTTCTTAACCGAAATGAGGCACTGCTGGGAATCTCGTTGGACAAATTGATATCTAATAACTATCTTACGTAATCGTCAATCAACTAAAAAGTACAATTTATTTTGAGTGGGTACGTTGCAATCATTTTTTCATGCCTTATATGTCAAATAACAGGCATGACACCTTGAGAAATATAATACAATGGTAAATATTGCATTTTCTTTACACCTATATGATACATGCATGCACTTATATACACATACACATTTGCAGTACACATTATACTATATATACATGTACAAGCATATATACCTATGCATACAAACCGAGGAACTACACGCCGCACTAATCATAATAATAACAAAAGGAGTGACTGGTGTATAGAAAGGGTTAAATAATAATAATAATAATAATAATAATAAACCCGGTGGCTCACCAACTGCTCCTACTGCTGTTTGGAACCTTATTCATTGTCATTCTCTTATGTGCATTCGAGAATATTATTATTATTAGTTTCATTAGAATTCGACCTACATGTATATATACTTATCGGAGGATTACCATTACCTGCCTACTGTTATAATGACCCAACGACATTTGGTCAACGGGCCCAAAACACCGTTTGTCGGTAATAATACATTTATACATTCGACCCAGAATAATGATCAATCAAATTTACTTCGAAAGAATCATGATACACGTGTTTTTTATAACATAATGCAATAATTCATGATAGTATACAAATTATACAAATACATCCCCAACGTGTTTGGTTTTATGTTGCAGAGTGAATTTGTTTGCAACACATGTATTATGTAGGTACATTTTAATTTTTAAATATTAACTGTATTATTAATTTAAGAGTAGGTACTTACTTGGGTTGCTGACCCATTCGTGCAAAGCTTTCTGCAACCGTCTAACGTGTAGTGGCTTTGACGCCATACCGACCAGAGCCATAATTTCAAGAAATTCCTCTTCGCCGGCGTCACAAAGCTGTTGCAAGTCATCACCTCCTGTTCAATAACGATGGGTATGTAATAACATTATAAAATGATAACTTTAATTTTTACAGTAAATATATCAATACTTTCTGCTTGTAATAATGTATTTTTATAGGAGGGAGCAGCCTTATCCCCTTTCAGTTTTTTATATCATATTAATTAGTAAAATTGTTACATTGTAAATTTGTAATATAATAGATATTATTAAAACACATATTTATAATGATCAAATAATTAATTGATTAATTCTATCTCTAAATTTAATTTCAAGTGAATATTTTTAAATTAATTTTTATTTTATAATACCAGAAATATAAGTATTCTTTTTCATTAGTTATAACTTATAAAGGATATTTATTATATAAACGAGTGGATGAGAGAAAAAATCACGATAAAACAAATCAGAGGTGAATTTTATCAATATTCAGATATTTCATTATTTTATTTAAAATATTTAATGCCAAAAGGTAAACGATAATTATTTTAATGAACTCATCTTATGCTAATAATACCTACACTGAATTAATATTTAAAATTATTAAATATTTGTTGAATAAATATACTTTAGTAGGTACTTTAATAAAAAAAACAAATCAAGAAAAATATTGTATAAAGTATAAACGATATTAATGGATTTCTTTTAAGTAAAATCATAATAGATTTCTGATTAATTTTAATTTTGAACTTCATTAATATTTATATTTTTACAGCATTGTCTTGTGTACATTATCTCAATCTTTCATTCTAGCCCGTTAGTAATTTCTGTAAGTGCGTAACGTAAAATAAAAAAGTTCAACTATATAGTTTACGGTTACTCTAATTAATATACTCTGCATAAAATTGGTTATTTTTTTTTTGTCTATGTTTCACTTTCCAATAGGTATGTATTAATGAATGATGTGTCCGTCTTACCCATTTCGAGTAGTGTATCATAATACGCTAAAAGACTAGCTCTCTGCATTACCCTGTACAATTGTAATTCAGCTTCGTTACTCGGACTGGATGTCATGATCACTGCAACACAATACAATTTTTACAATAAGTACCTCTGTAATTAATATTTTAGAACCAAATTGGAAATGTTCAAGTTAAGGCTAAGTTTATTAAAGGTGTGTTGCATATATATAGGTATGTAAAAATATATTATGTTATTAATATTATTTACACGCACACTGATTCGTATTTTTAACCTTTTGCAAAATACCTTACCTAACCTTTACACTATTTTTTTTTTCATTTGACAGCGCGCGACGGCAGTGGCGTCGAAAATGCTATTATTATTGTTATAATATACGGTGTAGGTAATAGGTACAAGTTGTACCTAACCTTGTACCGTACAACATTGGTAGCGTTTAGAATTCAGGTCACCGATAACAAATGTGTCTGCTGCTCCTTCCACCATCCCTTCGTTGCTGGAGGGTAGTGTTTTTATTCTATAATATATAATATATAGCTTTTTCTGCATTCTTGTGACCAATAATTTATATTTTGCGACTTTGTGGGAGTTTTCTTCTTTCATTATGTATGGGTTGTATACTGGTATAATAGCCCCCGTTGCCCCTCTATCTAGCTACATATTCGGATCGGCTGAATTACATATGAATATATTTGATACGTGAAGAGAATAATGGCTTAGCGCTCTATCTGCCTTATTGCTGAGGAGAAGAAATATATGTTTTTTTATCCCTATATCACGTGGTATTAATGTACTGAATTGGCGTCACGTTGTCGTTGCAGTTGCATCGAGAACTGCAGTTGACGGCGCCACATTGACTATACGTTGTGGTCTGTTGAGACTTGAGAAAAACTTTATGATTTTTTTTTTGGTTCCAATTAAATCAAATTGCCAAACCGTTTATAGTATTTTATATAATCATAACAGCGTATTCATAAGAATAATTTATACTTGTTAGTTGTTTTTGTTGGAGTTTTCTGAACTTGAATAATTATAACTAATTTATATATTAATATTACATATTTATATTTTCACTATAGTTTGTTACAGATAGAAAATTATAATAACACAATAACTATTTTGTGTAAATATAAACCTATAAATCCCCCGGGGCGAGTGTATGCAAATCTATTATATCTTATTCAGCATTCAAAGGTTACATTTAATTAATGAAAATATAGTAATAAATGCTTCAGTTTAAAACAAAATACCCATACTAATTTACTAATTTAAAGTAAATACACTCAATAAATTACTCTTATTTCTCAACAAATCCAAATAATTATTGTTACTTAGTGTAATAACAATTCCTTAATCCCCTGCAGTTATAACCGTATGTACTGCTGTAGTAATGGTCGTCTAATATTATTTATTATTATTATTTTTGTTGTTGTTAAAGGGTTGGTGGTCAGGACGATATTTTAGGTGGGGGTACCTTCTGTTTATTAACCGGAGGTACTGCTGTATACCACCGTGTTGTTCTAACGACTTCCTGAGCTATAAGTGACCCGGGGCCGTCTAGTCCGTTGTAATTATTGCACAACGTACATCGGACAGCAGCTGAGGGTTGAACACGTTTTCAAGGCTACCAGCACCATGGGGTGTCCATTATTATAGTTACAAAAAAAAAATAATAAGAAATAAACAAGATAGGTCAATAATATTGACCTTTAATAATGTATTAAGGACGTATCATGTAATATCATGTACATTGTAGGTATACGTATACTTTAATATTATAGATGATTACTACGAGGCACTGACAAGTTAGTTTTATTGGTTGTCAATATTCAACATTTATTATGAATTTATAATTTTATAATATTTTCCTAATATTTTATTAAGTTTATTTATCAAATATCTGTTTTTAGCACTTGAATCATATGCTGAAAAGTGATATTTTGATGTATGAAACATATTATTATAAGCATTTATTCAGTACTTTATCAATTTCGATATTTTATTTAAACTTTTCAGACTCAAATTAATTTGGTTTTGATTTTTTTCATTATACAATTTTAGTTAATGTGCCTTTATTATTACAACATTATTTCAATGAAATAGATATTAAAAGCAAATAATTAAAAAACTAAATTGTTTATATTACGCTAAATTTAACTGTGACAAACAATATACTTAAAGTATAGGTTTATTGAATACTGTTGAATGTCGAATATGATCTACTTTTTAGAAGAGGATAAAATAAAATATACGTATGTGGTATAGGTACTATAATGATGTTACGCGCGACGGGTTTTTTTTTTTTACATAGGTAGGTATGTCGTAGATGCGTTGACTGGGATTTAAATAAAGAACAAAACCATCGAAGAAATCGGTTTGAATGCTTAACAGCAGATGTGGCCCGTACAATGGACGTAACAGTGAGTAGAAAAAAATTATGTGAAAAAAATTGAACCAGAATCTTCTAGTAGATAAAAAAAAGATGGTATATATATATATGCGTACACATCAATTAGGGCCCGTCCATCTGTCTTTGGGTAGTCCATCTATGTAAATGAACCTTTTGTACAGCCCCAGGGTCAAATATGGGTATGATTTGTTAACTGATCAAACACATACACACATATATATAATATAATGTGCTATACGTACGTGGACGTTGTGGGAGATATGAGGTCAACGATCTGGTTAAAATAACAAAACACCTTTTCATGTCGTGTAACTGATCGTATTTTGATAAGAGTCATATTATGGTGGTGTCTAATGTTTTTTTAAGATATGATGTATGGGATTCACGAGGCCTTGGACAGTTGTATAAATTGTCAATAATAAGGTTGAAATAAGTGATAAACAAAATGTAATCGTATTTCATGACCAACAACGTGCATTTATAAGTATAGGTTAGGGTCCACATAAATAAGAGATTTTGAGAATAAAATGCCTATGATATATGAGTGCGACACTCAACACATTTATGATCGATGAATATTATTTTGGATTTAAAACTTTTAAAATGTATAAGATCATGAATGACATATTTTTTAGACATTTAAAAGTTTTCCTACTCAAATTTTTAGTTGTATATCAAATTTTAATGGAAATACAAATATTATAAGAATTTTTAATTTTACATAAATATATAGCACTACGTTATTTAGATTGAAACCAATGTTTAGACATATCTTCATAGTTCATAGTATAAACTAATAATAAAAAGTATTTTAAATTTTAACTTAATTAATTATTATTAAAATTACATTTTAACGGTATATATACGCGTATTACATTTTAAATAAACCTACAATATCATTAGATAACTGCATTTCGTGCACTTATACAAATGGAAAATTAATAATTTCAACTAATATTTTTTTTTTATAACCTATCATAAAAACAACCTATATTATAGTTATTCAAATTTACGTTTTACAACTACATAAATGTACATAAAATAATTTTGATAATTAATTTGTTAGACGATAATTGCTATAAATAGCTTAATTAATAAATTTAATTAAATTTGTTGAAACGATTTTCAGCTAAAAGATGAAATTAATTTTTAGATTATTGTTTAGAGTATTAATTAAAAATGTATTTCAATAGTAAACAGTTTTATAAAAAAAACCACGATCAACTTAAATATTATACCTAATACTTTTTATCTTTTACTTACTTAGTGTGTAATGTGCATATTTTATGGTAAGTAGAAAAACTATATCAAAGTTTTCTCACGGTATTAAAATCACGAGAGGTCAAAAAAATATTTTTTTTTTCGAAGTAGAAAAAAATTAAATTATGTACAGTGTTTCAACAGACATATCTATGAAAAATATGAAATTATAAGTAATTTAGGAGTATAAGGATATTAAATTATATTCCACGCTGACAAAATGAGGTTCAACTTCTAACTTCAATGCTTTTTCTTATTATTCTAAACCTTCTTTGAGTCTCATGCTGATGACGATCGAGAGAAAAAAATGGACAGAAAAAAAAAAAATTATAAAAAACACCAGAGAATGTGAACCCTTCAGGCAGAACCGGTGGTTCTTTTTGTTTTGTTTTGTTTTTTTTTTTTTTAGAACCGAGGCCATTAACATTATTTTTTTTTTGTCTTTTTAAAGTCCGAGAATGTCTTTATGCATGGGAAACATTAAAAAAAAAACAGTACCATAGACTGAACATAAAAAAAATAATCAATACACCTAGAGTTCTAAGAATAAAAAAAAATTGATAAAATGAAATGGGGGCTAGGTGCCTTGCGCGGTATATACTGTTGAATGATAATGAGTTTTAATAAATTGGTTCCAGCTGTTTTGATGATTAGGATTTTTTTACTCTAGTAAAATGATCATTAAAGTTGAAACTTCCGTGCTAATAATAATGTAAATTACTTATCATAATAACCATAGTATCAAATAACTATATCAAACTGAAATTTATTAACAATAATAACAATAATTAAAAAAGAATTATATGTTTACTACGAGAAAACGTTTTTAATAAAAACATAATCATGGTATTTATTTTTAACGAAATGTATTAATTATTAATTATATACGTAACTAAAATGGTATAAATTGTATTCAATATCAAAAATAACTGCTTTATGTTTACTCCAAATTCAGATTTAAATACCCCATTATAATATTATTATCTGACTTATCCAGTAATAATTAGTTAGTAATTAGTGATGGTTGTTAAATAGTTAAAATATGTACTATATTAGAACCCGGGACAAATAGTTGAACATTTATTTTATAGAAGAATAAATTAAAATACCTAATTTATTACTAAAACAATATCGAAATGGTTAAGTGATACACAAAATAAATAAGGAGGAATTATTTTTAAAAAGAATAATGTACTTTTTTTTGGAATGCATCTATCTGTTAAATAAAAAGTTCATAATATATTAATTGATGGGTTGAAAAAGCGATTGAATTATAAGTTTTTGAAAGTATGGTATAAAGGATATAGTCATATTATAATAAATATAAATAAAAATACTTAGACAAAATAGGTTAAATTATATAAACGGTTTAAGAATTGACTTATGTGTGTAAATGTTAAATTGTGTATTTAAATGTAAGTAGTAAGT